TTTTTTTACCCAGGTTCATTTGTTCCCATTTCCCAAGGTTGTTAGTGTAGGTCAATCTCTACCCAGAAGTAGAGAGAAAAACGAGAAAGAGAATCAAAAACATTGTGGTGTCTCCTGGACGTAGGTGAAGCCCAGGAGATAAGTCCAGGAGATACATGATGTAAACTTTGGAGTCTTCATCTTTAATTAGATATGTTGTTGTGTTGCCCTATTATTGATCAGTTTCTTCCCTTTCCCAATAACAAATTTTGGAGTTAAGCTGTTTCTCTTTTTTAATTCTACTCTTTTTTTAATGTAAAGAGTGGACAAAACTGTAATAAATAGATTTGATTTTACTTGACTTCTACTTGACATGAGTTGACTTTAGTTGATTTTTAATTGACTTAACTTTGACTTGACTTGACTTGACTTGACTTTGACTTGACTTTGACTTGATTTAACTTTGACTTGACTTGATTTGACTTTGACTTGACTTTACTTTGACTTGACTTGACTTAACTTTGACTTGACTTGACTTTGACTTGACTTTGACTTGATTTAACTTTGACTCGATTTGACTTTGACTTGACTTTGACTTTGACTTGACTTAACTTTGACTTGATTTGACTTGACTTTGACTTGATGTGACTTCGACTTGACTTGAGGAGGCTTCTTGCAAGGATCTTCCATCCGTGGACCATTTATCCAGAACTTTTCATTGATGGTTTTTGCTTGCTCTTCAGGTACCTGCCAACCTTATGTCATTTGAGTAACCAGCTCCGGTGTGCGGTATAACGTCCAGTGCCAAACTGCAAGATGGGAAGATGGGTTCCCGTTTGAAGCAAGGAGGAAAGAGACTTCAGAGCAAACCAGTTCTCTCCCACGGCAACTTCAGCACTTTTCTACATAACTTGAAAGTAATTATGACACAACTTCTAGAAACGGAAACACGAATGTCATCCTTGGGACAGGATCTAACTCACTGCACTGACAAAAGAGAGAGAACTTAGAGATGCAGCCTGCCCCATCACAGGGTCCTTGGGTCCTTAACTCTAGCCGTGGGGGTCCCAGACGGCTGTGGATTTTTTTGTCCTGCCACAAACTGTATCTGTCACATCTCTGCAGATTTTTTTTTCCTTTTTTTTTTTTAACTGCTCTTTTTACGGCCAAGCTGCTTTATGTGACTCAAGAACTTTTTAGCCCATGTTGGGTTTACAGTTATTTCTAATGCACAAAACAACAAACAGTTTGACAGTGTTAACTTGCTGCAGAGTGTCAATTAGAGTAGAACGTTGTGAGACGACAACATTTTTATAACCTTAAGTGCACTGAGCTGCTTTGGCTGCCTCAGAGTTTTTTTGTATCAAACGTAGGGACGACACCAACGTCCTGACCGAAGCTATTTGGGAAATGTGTATTTTGGCACAAGAGAAGAAAAACAAAAAAAAACAAATCACCTGTATTTTTTTCTGTTTGTATCTCATGATTAATTGTGCTGTATTTTGTGGTGGATGTTTTTTTATTATTAACTGGAGGTACCCCTAGCAACGAAGGGACTAATTGCTGCTGAAATGCACGCCGTCTTAAGGCTCCTTCTGGATGACTTCATTCCCAAAGGAAAGATCTGCCTTAAATTGCGTGGCGTGGGGGGGCTAAGGGGCTGCTGTTCGTCCAAAATGTCCCGTAGCCATGCAAGCTTCTCCTACATCTCCCCCAGGGCTGGTTTTAGAACCTCCCAATTCCAGAGAGCATTTGTTGAGGGAAAATGTATTGATATGGACTCCAGTTTCTCCTAAAAGGGGGAAGCTTTTCACCAAACGCCAGTCCCTTCTAACTCAGCCAGAAAGTCAGTATTCTTTTAAGCAAGGTAGAATAGCTCAAATGTCCTCGTCTCTTGATTCCCCAACCCGGCCTTTCAACGAAGCCTTGAGCTGCTCCGTGGCGTCTTGGATGCAGCCGAACGAGCCAGCTTCTTCATACAGATGTGGCCGGCCAGCGGTCATTTTGGATGAACAGCCCTCTGTGCTTGAAAGACCTGCCTGCTCTCGGGGGGCACCCATCTGGCTATATCTTGGTTGTCTTCTAAGCCGTGTTTACTTTAAATGTATGCTCAATGTCTCCGCCGTTAATGATTGTAATGCATTTTTTAAGTGTCACGCCGTACTGTCTATCTCCTGTTCCTAAGAGCGAAGGAAGGTAAAAAAAAAAACCTCTTGGATTTGGACAGGAAATGGGGAAAAAGAAAAACCATGTCTCAGCCTTTTCCCTTCTCTTATTCTCATGGTGAAATTGTTGGAAAACTGTGCAGCCAGTTGTGGGGGGTGACAAGTTAGGTAGTTGCTGTAGAATTTCAGGATGGGCAAATAGGTAGGTTTTTTCTGGTTGATCATCCCGATGTAGCATCTGCCATTAAGCCTTTAAAAAGGGCTTTCTCTTACCAGCTGCATAATGGCAATTAAAAAAAACCTGGCTTCCAAGGCAAGTAACCCAGCTAAGGAATTAACTGAGCCCAGATTGCATTAAGACCCCCCCCTCCCCTTTTACAAGAGTGCTAAATTTATTTTTAAAATCACCTGCGTCAAACGTGCCGAAAAGACAGGGAAACACTTCCTGATGAAGCAGAATCTTTTCCCTGTTATTAAAAAAATGACTGGCAACAAAAGGGAATCCTAATTTTTATAACAGAGGGATGAGACTGTTAGCAAGCTGCTGGAAGGGTGTTGCAAGAGCATTCAAGAAGAAAAAAGAATCGGTACCAAAAACGGAAGCTGTTGCTTAGAGGGTAAAACACGGGCCGTTAAAAATCAGGTTTTTTAATTGCCCAGAATGAATGAATTCCTACTTACACCAAGGAGTGGACTAGTGCAATGAAGTTAACCTCCCCGTTCTTCTTTTAGAATAAGCACCCTGGTCTGACATGGTAATGAACAAGTTAAATGAAAGTTATGTGATTAATGGCATCAGAATCCAAGCCAGACTCAGTTCAAGAAAGGAGGTGGTTTTTAATGAAATCTTTTAGAAAAGGACGCGAAAGCAGTTCCTGTATTCATCCCCAATCACGCAAAGGCTAAGCAAGTTTATGAAATTGTAATTTGAGTTAGTCTGACTTCTGGACAGAGAGTTCAGGATTTGATTGTCAAATGCTTTCAGAACAAAAATCTGGTTATTGGTTTACTGGGTGAGAAAGAGGAGAGGGGGGGGAACCCCACTCTGAAAAATGTCTCCGTTCTCACCAACCTCCCATCATTTTAGTTCTTCCCTTCCTGTCAAAAGACTGGAAATCACCCGGGGTTTTTTTTTATGACTTTGGGAAACATGTGTGTTACGGCATGTCCAAGTAGAGGTGCCTGCCCGTGTGTAATGAAAGAAATGTGCAGGTGTTTTGCAAAGAGAATGCCCAAACCTTGAAAGTCCCTCTGCAAATCTGCATTTGGAATGTAGGAGATTGTTTTCACTTACATTTTTCTTTCCTTTCCTTTTCTTTTTTAAGAACAAAAAATAGAACCAGTGTTGCAAAGGCCTGCCCCAGTTTTTTTTTTTTTGACTTTGGTAGAGCTATAAGCACTGTAGCCCACAGCCCGGGAAAAAATGTACAGTAATGATTTGCGTAATGATGGAGCTCCTCCTCCTCCTCCTCCTCCTCCTCCTCCTCCTCTTCTTCTTCTTCTTCTTCTTCTTCTTCTTCTTCTTCTTCTTCTTCTTCTTCTTCTTCTTCTTCTTCTTCTTCTTCTTCTTCTTCTTCTTCTTCTTCTTCTTCTTCTTCTTTTCTTCTTTCTTCTTTCTTCTCCAGGTTTAAATGGTTAATTGTCCTATGAAAAGCATGAGGATTCTATTTAGCTGGTTTTTTTGTTTTTGTTTTAATTTTTGGTGCATCTTTGACTGTGAATTTAAGGGGTGCATATCGGTAACTGTTTAAAATAGGGTCTCCGCCAGAGAAGACCCTCATCCAGAGCCCCACACCCCCTCTGAGGGTGATACGGACGCATTCGTACGCCCGGTCCAACGATGGCAGGTCCAAAGCTTGGTAAATGAAGTTTTCAACTTTGAAAACGGCCTTCAGAGCTGGCGTGGATGAGACGGTTCCAGGGAGCACCACACAAGATGGCAAGGGCAGGTTGTGAGGTCAACTGGAGCTGTGCTGTACATCCAATGTAAACAGAAAAAGACAGTTTGGAGCATCCCGTTCACATCGCACCTCCGTGAAGCTCCTTCAACCGGATTTGTCTTCTTCGCAGTCCAGCGAGGTGAAATAGCTCCAGGCGAAGATGCCTTTGGTTGAAAGAGCGCAGAACGGTGTACGCGTGAACATGACCATGCTCCAAAGAAGGTTTTTTTGCCTTTGAAGCCTTGCCCTGTCCAGCCCAGAGTAGGTCGCTCTGTGGAACTGACCACCGTTTAACCATTATTCTCTTTTTTTTATTTTGCAAATATGGTCCCCGTCGATTTCCACAATGACAATTTGTGTAGCTGTATCGAGGCAACGTTATTTATTCTTAATTTATTTGCTTGTGTAAACCTAGTGCCAAAATGCATGGTGGATTGGTTTTTGCTTTTGTTTTTTTTCCAAGTAGCACTCGATGGAAGCAGAAATAATAGTATCTGGATCTTCAGCCGTTTTCGCCTTTGTGGTTTAAACCCATTTCTAGACTTTGCTTTTGTTTAGTTTTCCCTTTGGTGAGACCCGTTGCACCTAATTTTTTCACCTCCTTTTTAGCCATATTTCCAGCGGTCCACTGCATGGCATTTTATTGTACAGGCCTCTCATCTCTCACTCCTTGTGAATTGTCCCTCTTCCAGATGAACTACTGAAGTTTTCACCCTCCTGTGGAAGTCTTTTTTAAGTTCTGTTTATTTTTATTTTTCTTATTTGGCGAAGTATTTTGTTACCTCAGTCAATCTATAGGGTTGCTGTATTTTTCAGCTTGTTACATTGATGATGATAACTGTTTCACTAATTAAAACAAAAACTTTAATGTACAAAATAAAAAAGGCTACTTTTTTTGCCTCTTCTTTGTTGTGATCCTGGAAGATAAATACACTTGGTGCGCAATCGTAAAGCTATACCCTATAGGTAATCCTCGCTTTACGACCGTCAATCCTGGTTCCCAGGCTCCCAGGGCTGGTTATGTTTGCCTCTGACTGATTCTTCAATCAAAGTTCTGATTTCAACACTCAACCTGGAACGGTGCAAGGACCAGCGCATCCGGTCCCTACATAAAGCCTATTGCAAAGCCTGCATCCTGAGCTGGCACGCTGCCAGGGAAAAAGACTCGTTGTAAATTTTCTAGCTAGAAAAGAGTAAGGTCGACGTAAGGCTGCATTCTGGTGACTTTGCCCCCAAACTGACCAACATAGCCTGTCCTATCTTGGGAAAGCCTGACTTTTTTGCCCTCTTTGGGCTAAGGAAATAATAGGGCCTGACTTTTGGCCCACTTTGGGGGTTAGAAAAGAGTAAGGTCGACGTAAGGCTGCGTTCAATGGGATTTTAAGGTTATTATTCTGCATCTTTATTACGAGAAGCCCTGTTATTTGTATTAACAGAACAACGGGAGGCCCAGGGGCTGCAGAACAGGCACAGATGTAGGCAAAAAAGGCTGTCTGCAAATTTTCTAGTTAAGAAAATTTGCATTCCGATGACTTTGATCGACACAGCCTGTCTCCTATCTTGGGAAACCCTGACTTCTTTTGCCCTCTTTTGGGAAAAAAAAGTTTATTTCCGTGTGTGGCTGCTATTCCTGCCTTGACCACCGGAGGGCAATGTTTTCTGTCCCATACCATTCGCCCTGAGGCCATCATAGGCCTTTTTAACTCGGTTTAAGGCTTGTTGAAACGGGTTTCCTCCTTCCGCGCCTGTTTCTGCGCCTGTTCTGCAGCCTCTGGGCCTCCAGGTGGACGCATACAACCGGTAGTATGCGTACACCTGTGGTACGTTAGAGCACGTGGCAGGCAGTACGCAGCCCTGCTCAGCCAGCACAGGCAAAGACTCACTGGTAAGAGAGACGCCCAGAGCGGCAGAGGGAGGCAAAGACCACAGAGTCACTTCCGGCTGACCCGGAAAAGAAAGAAAGAAAGGAGAGGTGCGGAGACAGCAGCAGCCTTGCGACGAGGAGGAGATGGAGGCGAGGGGCGGAAAGGAGAGGGAAGGTAAGGGAAGGGGTGGGAAGTGTCCTGTCGCCCCTAGCCGCGAGGCGAGGCGAGGCGAGGGCGGGAAGGGGCGGCAAGGAAAGGGGTGGGAAGCAGGCACGCCCTTTGCCCCTT